TTAGCAACGACAGGGCCGTGGAGTTCTCGGAGGAGACGCGGGTGGAGCGCAACGAGAGCATCGAGCAGCCGAAGCTCGACGACATGCAGCAGGCGCTCGAGCAGCAGCGCATCGCGCTCGAAGCCTACTTCGAGAAGCCATGGTGCGCTATTCGTGAGGTGTTGCTTCGTGGACGCTGCCTCACATGTGCCTCAGGCTGCTCCAGAGCACCGTAGCGATGACTACGCCTGCGAGGTCTGCGAGGGCGAGATCCAACACGGGGAACCCAAGCTGTCGTGCGGCAATTGCAAGCGGTTCCCATGGACGGCGCACGAGCACTGCGTGAGAGAGGTGCTTGCTGATGGATGGGGAAGGCTAGTGGGCATCCCACAACTGCCCCAGTACAGTCTGTCCCTGTGGCCTCTGCCTGTGCTTCGTCTTCGGTGGCGACTTCGGCATCGGGCACGGCATGAACGGGTCAAGATGGAGGGTACGGTCCACAAGGAGCCCGTGAACGAGCAGCTTATCCCCGTTGATGGAGTAACAGGCACGTGTGGCGCTAGCAGTCGTCATGAAAGGCCCCTTGAGTGTCGTCGGATTCCAATTCCGAGTTAACTCGTCGACTTCCGACGTCGTTCATCCCAATCCGCCCACCCTCCTCCCCGACCTCATATTGCTTTCTCCTTCTGATCCCTCCCCCTCCGCGAATTCCTCCCCATCCTCCTCGTCCCCCTCACCCATCCACCTACATATTAATTCTCCTCCGCCTTCTGCTGCTTACTTATGATCCCTCTTTTCCTCCCCCTGCTGCTCATCCTGCACCCCCCTCCCCCTCCTCTCCCCTTCTCTCTTCCCTCTTTCCCTCCTCCTGCTCCGCCTCCTCCTCCTCCGCCTCATCCTTCCCCTTTCCTTATTGACAGTTCTTCTCTGTCGCACCCCCAGGCATGTCGGCAGGGCGGGCTGGGCAAAATGTGGTTCTCGCCGCAGCGCCTCGCACATTTTCTGTTTTAAAAGTTTGCAGCCGGTTCAGGGATGTGGCCGTGTTGTTCTCAGAGTGTGGCTCTTGCTTTAGCGCCGCGCACATTTGTTTTTTTGTCGACAGTGTACAGCAGTTTCACGGATGGTGGGCGGGTGGTTTTCAAAGTGTGGTTCTCTCTTCGGTGCCGCGCACAGTCGCCTTGAACAAACACAAGGGTTTCAAGGAAGGAGGGCGGGTGGTTTTCAGCATGTTGTTCTCGCCTTAGCGCCGCGCGCATTAATTTCGACAGGTGGCGACAGCTTGAAGGGTTCTCATGGTCGAAGTCCCAGGAATGGTGTCTTGGCGAGGCTTTGGATTGTCAGAACGCAACAGTCAAGTTGGCTCGTGGTGTTGAAGTCCCAGGAATGGTGTTCTGGCACGATTCAGGATTGTCAGGACGCAACAGTCACGTTGATTTGCGACGCTGAAGTCCCAGGAATTGCGTTTTGGCAGGATCGGGGATTCTCGGACGCTTGTCTTCTAATAGTGTATCTGCCGCAATGGAAATTAATTCTTGTAGGGCCCCGTGAGGCGGGAACTGGGAGGGAGGGTTCATTGCAACATCGTTGACGCGTCTTGGGTTTACACTGGTCCTCCTCCTCCTCCTCCTCCTCCTCCTCCTCCTCCTCCTCCTCCTCCTCCTCCTCCTTCCCTCCTCGCACAGCCGATCGGCGGCGACCGTCGGCGGCGATCGGCGGCCCTGCCGATCTGCGGCGGCGGCTGGCGGCGGTCGGCGATCGGCTGAGGGTGCCCCAAAGTCCTGGTGCTCGTCCTCTTCCTCCTCCCCTGGGGCCCTCTTCCTCTCCATCGCCCTCCTCCCTCGCCCTGGTCCTCTTCCCCTCCCCTCCCCCGTGCCCTTGGTACTGGAGGTGCCCGGAGGTCGAGCCGTCGGGCTCCTGGAGGGCTCGCTGGCCCGCGGCCCGGCCTGAGCAGCAGGGCGCCTTCAAAAATTTGCTCGGAGCGCAGGCCGCCTTGTGCGGCGCAGCCTGGCACAGACTGGGGATCCGTGCCTTCAGCCTTCAGCCTCCTTCTACTCCCTCCTCCTCCTCCACCTCCTCCTCGTCCTCCAGTTATTCCTTTTCCTCTTCCTCTTCCTCCTCTTCCTCCTCCTCCTCGTCCTCCTCGTCCTCCTCGTCGTCCTCCTCCTTCTTCTCCTCCTCCTCCTCTTCCTCCTCCGCGCCATTGTCGTCCTCTTCCTCCTCCTCCTCCTCCTCCTCCTCCTCCTCCAGTTATTCCTCTTCTTATTCCTCTTCCTTTTCCTTCTTCTCCTCCTCCTCCTCCTCCTCCTCCTCCTCCTCCTCCTCCTCCTCCTCCTCCTCCTCCTCCTCCTCTTCGGGGGCCCCGCCGCAGTCCACACGCGAGCTGCCCCAGCCGGCGCCAGCGCCGCCGCGGCGGACGAGCCGCACGCCGCGGGCCAAAGGCCCTGCAGCGCACGCGGCGGCGCCGCCCTGCGCCAGCCGCGGCGAGGCGCGCCGCTTGTTGGCCGTTGGGGTGGCCCTTGGGAGAGGAGAAGGAAGAAGAGGATGAGGAGGAGGAGGAGGAGGGAGAGGGAGGAGGAGGAGGAGGAGGAGGAGGAGGAGGTAGAGGAGGAGGAGGAGGAGGAGGAGGTGGTGAGATGGGAGTAGGAGGAGGTGGTGGAAGCGGAGGAGGAGGCGAGGAGGAGGAGGAGGAGGAAGGATGAGGAGGAGGGAGGGAGGGAGGGACGGAGGGAGGGAGGAGGGAGGAAATTGAGGAGGAGGAGGAGGAGGTGGAGGAGGAGGAGGTGGTTCAAAGGTAAGATGGAATCCTGAGGGATGGGGGCCTAAGGATGGGAGGGGATCCATGGGTGGAATTACGTTGGTTGAGGCACTTCGTGCTTATGCCGAAGAAGAAAAACGGCATATAAGGATAGACTGCTTGCGCTCCACTCGGTTTTCTTGGCTCCGCGCTGGGCCCCCCCTGGCAACGGTTCCGGCACCGCCCCTGGCGCGCTCCGCGCGCCAGGGACCGGGGTACAGTGCGGATCCAAGAAATCCGCGCGGAGCGCCAAAAGTCAGGGTTTTTTCTCTTCGAGGATACATCCCCAGGACGAAAGTTTTTTCCTCTTGAGCCCGGAACGACGGCTTGAAGTCTTGAGCAGACGCATATGAGATAACCGCCGTCGGATCCCATGAAGCTCGCGCGGATCCAAGTGTGGCTTTGGTGTTTGTTTCGGTGGATCCGATTTCCATCCGCGCGGATCCGATTTCGGATTTGCTGGATCCGTGTTCAATCTTATTCTTTTACGGCGGATATGATTTCTACCCCGTTTTAAATTTATACGATTGAATTATAACGGGAAGCCGGAAGAAATCGGATCCGCGGACCCCCGGAACCCGCCCGTGTTACGATTCTACGGGGGAAGGGGGTTCGGTCATGAGTTTCCAACTCATCATCGCCACTTGCACCTCAAGAGGAACAATTTCCGTCCTGCGTAAGTAGGAGGGTGTCCACGGGTGAAATTCCGTTGGTTGAGGCACCTCGTCCTTAGGGCCCCATCTCTCAGGACTCCACCTCTGAACCACCGAGAGGGGCGCTTCGCATAGGCGATTCGGTGCTTCGGGGGGGCCCCGTGAGGCCTTCGGCGGCCTTGGGCGGCCTTCGGCAGCAGAAGAGCCCAAGACGGGCCGAGAGGGCTTGATGCAAGGGCCAGGAGCGCCGCAAGAGGGGCGAATGGAGCAGTGCAGCCCAAGAGAGGTTCCTAAGAGCCGCAAGACGCGCCAAGACGGCCCAAGAGGTCCAAAGAACCCCCCCAGAGACCCCCCAAAATTTCCACGAGGTCCAAAGCCCCTAAGACGCCCCTCAGCGAGCTTCAAAACAGCCCTCACTCACTCCAGGACGGACCCCAAACATACATCGATACTCTTTCAAGCCACCCATGCCAGCCCTTGGCAGTTCGAAGTGGGCATCCCTGCACCGGAGCGAGAGACCGTGGGGGTCCGTGAGGTGGCGAGGTATTGTGCAAATTCTTACCACGATCGCTCCAGATGGCTCTAGGAGTGCCTCGGAGGAGCTTTTGACGCCCCCGAAGGCCCAATTCTCCCTGCGACTGTTTGGAAGGCTCCTCGGGGGAGGCCAGAACCCTAGCGCGCGCACGTGTGGTCATAGCTCGACGTCTATGAATACAACAGATGTTGTAGGTTGTGACAACGGACGCGCATTCACATACTTGTATCGCCAGATGTGTCCCAGCGAGCCACTGGGGCCCAGGCCCAAACGCGCAGGCCGCCACCGTCGCACTGCGGCGCAGCGGTCGACGGTGCCGCGCACCAGAGGCCGCTCTCGGTTCTGGCCCGGGACCGCCCTTACGCGCGCGGCCAGCCAGCAGGAGTGGAACGGCGGCCGCAGCGGCTCCGTGCTGGAGGGGGGCGACCTCGTCTTCGACGCCTCGCTGCCAGAGGCGCTTAGGGGGCTCCTCATCCTCCTCGTCCTCCTCCTCCTCCTCCTCCATTTCCTCCCTCCCTCCATCCTCCCTCCTCCTCTCTCCCCCTTCCTCCTCTCCTCCTCCTCCTCCCCTCCTCCACTCCCTTTCCTCCTCTCCTCCTCCTCCTCCTCCTCCTCCTCCTGCTGGGGGGGGGGGCAGGCGCCATTTTCTCGCCGCCCGCAGCGAGGCGCGGCGGAGGGGGGGCCGAAGTGGGAGGGGGGAGCCTGCCGTCCGCGCGGCTCCCGGGAAGGCCCTCACCCCACCCCTAGCCCAGCTGGCCTGCGAGGGCACGGCGCCAGGGTGCGCCCAGCCTGGCTCCCCTCCTCCTCCTCCTCCTCCATCCTCCTCCTCTCCTCCTCCTCCTCCTCTCTCCCTTCCTCCCTCCTCCTCCTCCTCCTCTCCTCTCCTCCTCCTCCCTCCTCCTCCTCCTCCCACAACCAGCTGCTCCTCCTCCTCCTCCTCCTCCTCCTCCTCCTCCTCCTCCTATCCCTTCTCCTCTTCCTCCTCCTCCGTTCGGGTTCGGGCGGCTTTCGAGCTAGGGCTCCAGACCGCCTTGGACGCAGTGGATCAGCATCGTCATCATCATCAGCAGCATCATCATCATAATCATGATCATGTACAGCATCTCCGTCATCCGCATTCATCGAGGACGGCGGCTCAATGGGGTGAGCCGAGCCGGCCGGCCGCGCTAAGTTGGCCGCCACGGTCCAGACATCATCAAGTCTCTTCGCGCCACCTGCGACACACAACTCACAGACACGCGCACACACAACATACACAACACAACACACGCACACGCACACGCACACGCACACGCACACGCACATCACGCACACACGCGCGCGCACACTCAATCGCACTCGCGCGCACATTCGCACGCACACGCACACACACATATTCACACACACACACACACACACGCGCACGCACACTCACGCACGCACGCACGCACACACACATACATACACACACACGCACACACGCACACACGCACACACACACACGCACACACGCACACACATACACACGCACATACATACACATACATACACAGCCGTTCTGGCCCAGGTGGGCTTGGTTCAGCAAACATTCAGAGCGGCTACTTTGCTGTACCGGGCTGAAGTGGCTCGTATTGCAGATTGCTTCTCTTGCCCGTGAGGGCACAGCGATGGCGAATGTCGGGACGCATTGGAAATGTCCGTGTTGCCCGAAATTCAATCCGATCAGCAAGTTCAAGTGTGCCCAGTCGGGGTGCAGCGGTGTTCGGCCAGGCCCTGGACCCACGCCGCGTCCGTGGCATTCCGCAGGTGGCAAGTGGGCTCAAGGTGCTCCGCAGCTCAAGCCTGCCAAGCCTCTTCGTCGGCGGGGTGCTGCAGGTGTTACACTTGATGACGCTGGTGTTAAGTCGTATGTGGAGCTTACTCAAGAAATATGGGATCTGGTTAAGTCTACTCTGTCTCAGTCCAGCCGCGATCGTGTTCAGTATGCGAGAACGGCTGCAGCGGCAGGTTGGACACCAGGCGTCACTCAGAACAACAATGTTGAGAGGGCTGCGAAATCTTTGCTTGCTGGGAAGCAGAAGTTGCAGAAGGCGAAGGATGCCGCAGCCAAGGCAAGGGTCGCCCTGCAGGAGCAGCAGGTGGCCGTCGCCTCTTTGGAGCAGGAGCTTGCCGCGGCCAAGGAGGAAGCAGCCAAGGCCCTTGGTGCTTCCACAACGCCGCTCAAGCTCGACATCAGCCCTTTGCTCGAGCAGCTCAAGCAGTTGCAGTCCAGCTCAGGCCAAGGTGACACAGCTGAGGCCATTTTCGGGAGAGTCACCCAGGCCGTCACCGAGTTCGCCCAGAAGCAGCACACAGCAGCTCCTCCCGCCGAGGCCCCAGCACCAGGAGGTGGCGCCCACGTCGGCGGCGCGCCAGATGTCGGCGGTGGTGCAGCGGCTGCCGCGGGGGCGGACAAAGATGCCACCATGGAGGGTGATGCTCGTGACGGTTGCAGCGACCATCTTGATGGGGATGATCCTGGTGGGCTGCTGGCGGGGGCCTCCAGTGCCGACGAGCGGAAGCGGCTCATGGAGGCCCTCGAGATCCTCCGTGCAGAGGCCAAGCGGAGGAAGACGGGCCTTTAGCGGTCCACGGCAGCGGCGTTCCTGGGTCGGTCTCACGGTGAACGCCAACGCCTACTCTACCTTCGAGACCCTGTTGGACCGATCGGAGATCCGTCGGGCCGACTTTGTTGCCGTCCAAGAGACGCACCTCACGGTGGAGCGCAGCCATGAGGTGTCGGCGAGGCTGGCCAAGCTCGGCTGGCATGCGCACGCAGCCCCTGCTGAAGGGTCGGGGCCTGGGCTTCCTGGGCATGGAGGCCTTCTCCTGCTCTCGCCGCGGGTGCACGGCATGGGGCAGTTCGAGGGTGTCGGCAGCTCGATCATCGACGTCGGGCGTGCGACTTTCGTGCACCACTCTGGCTTCTGCTCGGGGGGCATGGTGCTGGTCACGGTCTACCTGCACACGGCCGTGGGACTCTCGCGCGCGAACGAGAACATCCTGCACAAGGTGTCCACCATGCTGCAGGTCCTCGGGCGCCCTTTCATCATCAGTGGCGACTTCAACATGGAGCCAGCCACCCTCATGCAGTCCTCTTTCCTCGAGAGGTGCTGCGGGCGAGTTGTGGCGCCGTCCTCGGGCACGTGCAGGCCCTCAGAGCAGGCCGTTGATTATTTCGTCGTGTCCAGGCATTTCAGTGTGGCCAGCGCCGGGGTCTTGCATGATTGGGAGTTTGGGCCGCATCGGCCAGTCAGGCTCACGATCGATGGCTCCCAGATCGACGACTGGGCACAGGTGATGCGTACGGCCAAAGCTTTCCCCAGCCCGTTCCCTGCTGGCTGTTGCACGCGGGACTTCACGGAGGACTGGCTCGCGCTGCGTGATGCCACCACCGACGTGGGCAAGGCCTGGACGCAGTCCATAGGTGTCACGGAGCGCTACCTGTGTGACCTCAGCGGACTCGACATCGGCAAGTACGGTGGGCGAGGCCGCGGGCCTGAGCTCGGCTGGGCACGCGCGTGCCCGCCTTCGGCGCCTCGCATTCCGAAGGTGAGCAGGCCTGCGATGTGGCTGAAGGGCGTGGCTCTTGCAGCCGCTGATGGGGTCAGTGCCGATCCCATCCGTCGTGCGCGGGGTCAGCGGGCCCTGGAGCGCAGGGCGCAGCGGCCACCCGCCAATATGTGGTGCCAGGTGGTGGCGCTTCTCTGCCGCGCGCGAGAGTACATGGGTTATGTTGAGCTCGAGTGCCTGGCGGCGATCACCAAGCAGATCGCGGACGATGCCATCACCATCGACGTACAGGAGTCGAAGGCTCGCTTCGGGGACTGGATCGATGCGCACTCTGCTGATGGGGGTGCGGCGCTGCATGCCTTCACGAAGGAGCCTGCGGTCAACGCCTCTGCGATCCAAGGGGTCGAGGTGCCGCTCGGCAAGATGGAGGCAGTCAAGGCGCTGGTGCGTGAATGGTCCGAGTACTGGCGGACTTCGGCTACGCCGCCGATTTTGGCTTGGCCTGACGACCTCGGCGAGCGCCCCAGGCGACCGACCCCAGACCAGCTGCGACGGGTTTGTTCGACGTTCAAGGTCCTAGGCGGGCGGAGCTTTGACAGCTTTAACCCGCGCGATTTCGGCGTGCTGGATGATGTCGGCCTGGAGGCGCTCGCAGATCTCCTTGAGTTGGTCGAGCGGCAATGCCGCTGGCCAGACTTTATCAATAAGCTTGCGTTTATTCCCAAGCGCGAAGGTGGAGTGCGGCCTATTGCCCTTCTTGCCGCGCTTGTTCGAGTGCATGGGCGGCTGCGACGGCCCATGGCCGCAGCGTGGGAGGCCGCCCGCGATCGCGGCTACTGGCGGGCGTCGGCCGGCAAGAGCTGTGATCGCGCGGTGTGGCAACAGCTGGTCTGGAGCGAGTGGGTTTCTATGAAGATTGATGAGGGTCCCAGCGCTGATTGGGCCACTGCAACGTTGCTGCTGGATCTGTGGAAGGCTTTTGAGCAGATCAGGCATGACAATTTGTTGAGATTGGCTCAGAAGTTCTCGTTTCCCTTGTGGTTGTTGAAGCTGCAACTGGATATTTATACCAAGGCACGTGCTCTTGTTTTGGATGGCGCCGTCTCCGACCTGGTCTACGTGCACCAGACCGTGCTTGCAGGCGATTCTTTCGCCACCACCTTCATGAAGCTGCAGCTGATTGAAAGTGTTGATCGCATGCAGAGGGCCGTGCCCACGGTGTCGCCCGCCATCGTGGTCGACGACCTGGTCCTCCAGCGGCACGGTGGAGAGCATAGGGCGAGCCGAGACATCATAATGGCGGTGCAGGTGCTAGTGAACGGTCTTAGCAGGGACAGCATCCGCATCGCTACCAAGAAGTCGCAGTTTCTTGCTTCGAGTACGGCTCTCACCCGAACACTGAAGGCCAAGTTGATCGCGATCACTGGTGCTCGAGCCGCCAGACACGCGAGGAACCTCGGCACGGACTTCGCTCAAGGGTGCGCGCTGGGGCGACAGGTGCGACGAGCGCGACTCCGTGCTGCTGAGCGACGGGTACCTAGAGTACGGCGACTCTTGGGAAATGGAGGTCGACGGGGTATAGCTGCCCGCATCGCCAAGCAGGGCCTCGAGGCAGGTTGCGCGTACAGTGTGAACTGCACGGGGCTCAGCGACGCCGACCTGCAGTCTGCTCGTTCGGTTGCCTTCCGTTCAACGGAGGCGCGAGTGGACGGCAAGAGTCGCACGCTCAGTCTCATGCTATCGCCTGTGCGCGAGCTCGACCCCATCTTCCGGGCCACCCTCGATCCAGTTTGTATGTTGCATCGTGCAGTCTGGGACAAGTGGCTGCCGCAATCCATTCTGTCTTCTGTCATGGCGTGGACATCCACCCATGTGAAGTCTTGGGCTCAGGTTCGTGGGCCCATCAGCGCAGCGTTCGTGTCC